ACACCGAGCATGTCTCTGGAAGCACACATCAACCAGATAACTGCTGCAGCATATGGGCGCCTGGCAAACCTGAGAACAGCATTCCGATACCTTAGTAAGGAATCGTTCAAGACACTGTACACCATGTACGTCAGGCCCATACTGGAGTATGCAGCACCTGTTTGGATCCCGCACTTGATCAAGCACATCAAGAAATTAGAGAAAGTGCAAAGGTTTGTGACAAGGTTAGTTCCAGAGCTAAGGGGAATGTCCTATGAAGAAAGGTTAAGGGAAATCGGCCTGACGACATTGGAGGACAGGAGGGTCAGGGGAGACATGATAACAACATATAAAATACTGCGCGGAATAGACAAGGTGGACAAAGACAGGATGTTCCAGGGAGGGGGGACAGAAACAAGAGGTCACAATTGGAAGTTGAAGACTCAGATGAGTCAAAGGGATGTTAGGAAATATTTCTTCAGTCATAGAGTTGTCAGGCAGTGGAATAGCCTAGAAAGTGATGTAGTGGAGGCGGGAACCATACATAGTTTTAAGACGAGGTTTGATAAAGCTCATGGAGCAGGGAGAGGGAGGACCCAGTGGCAACCAGTGAATATGCAGGGCCAAGAGCTAAGACTCAACCCCTGCAGAAACAAATAGGCGAGTACAAATAGATGAGTACTTTAGCACCTGATTGGTAAACTAGCCAAATAATAATCCATTTAAAGTGAAGAGGTCAATTACTGGACCTGGTTAGGTACTTGCACATCACACCAATAGAGTAATGGCTAGTAAGCAGGAGACAATCAATGCTATTTTGGGCAGAGATGAGTAATAAAACCACATTGGGGCTAAGAGATACGAGTATTATGTAGAAATAGGCTTGATATAATTCCAACTGGGCTTTGAACGTCCCACATCAGAAGCAGCCTTATATATTTCCAAGAAGTTTCTTATAATTTTAGAAATTCCTGTTATACATCTGTATTCTACTGAGTGTTTTAAACCGCAGTATTGTGTGTGTAACAAAGCGTACATAATACATGCAGGAGGGCCTAGCATTGCTGAGTGAGATACTCCGGGAAGGTGGATCAAGATAACTTCTTTTTAGGGGTCACAAAGTTGTGCATTGAGATAACATTTTGGTAGGAGACCAGCTATATTACATTCATTTCTAAGTTGAAACTTACCTATTGAAGAGGTCACCTGTCAGTCAGACATCTCACTGTTCAGAAAGTTAACTTCATACACAATCATCATGTGCTTCATTCTGGCAGCACATTCGCAATCACAGCTGAGGATACCAGCTTATTGTCTAATATGTTAATTTTCTTCATTGATGGTGAGAAATTCAGTACTCCTTCACTGGCCTTTTTCAATTCAATTCAAAGTTTATTCTCTATAAGGATTACAATGCTGAGTTTACAGAATTTGGTTATTGTGTGGTTTACATGTAGTAAAATAATAATTACAGAGTGTACCACTAGAACACCTAGCATGGCTAGGCATTTCGGGCAGACTTAGATTAAATCTTAAGTTTAAAATATTACAAAATTATGAGGTAAGTTGGTATTATGGCTAAGTGACTAAATACTAGTTTGTGAGTTTAGCAATGTGAATGCTTTTGTTTTGGCACTATACATAGATTCAGTATTGGAGTATCGCAGGCCAACTTATGACTAGTCAAGATTCATTATTTTGAGATTGAGATTAATATTTCTGTTTATGGTCGAATGGGTGAGCGAGTGTAAGTGTGAACCACCAGGTGGTATTCGTGTAATTAGTTGACGGGGTGTATCAGGGAGATAAGATGTTTTCTAATGGTAGTTTTGAAGGTGATGAATGTGTCTGCAGTTCTAGAGTTTTCAGGTAGGGTGTTCCAGATTTTAGGGCCTTTGACATACATTGAATTTTTGTAAAGGTTTAGTCAGACACGGGGAATGTCATAGAGATGTTTGTGTCTGGTGTTATGCCTGTGGGTTCTGTCACAACTATCAAGAAAGTGTTTTAGGTCAAGGTTAATATTGGAATTTAAGGTCCTGTAGATGTAGATTGCACAGTAGTAAGTGTGGATGTACTGAACAGGGAGTAAGTTTAGATCTATGAGGAGTGGGGGGTGTGTTGCCAGGGATGGGATTTAGTGATTATTCTTACTGCGGCTTTTTGTTGGGTTATTATTGGCTTTAGGTGTGTTGCTGCAGTTGAACCCCAAGCACAGATAGCATAGGTGAGGTATGGATATATAAGTGAATGGTATAGTGTGAGAAGGGCAGTTTGCGGCACGTAGTATCGTATGTTGGAGAGGATCCCAACCGTTTTGGATACTTTTTTGGTTATGTGTTGGATATGGGTGCTGGAGTTCAGGTTGTTGTCGAGGTATAGGCCTAGGAATTTGCCCTCATTATGCCTGGCAATTAGTGTTGTCGATCTTAATGTTAATTTGCGCATCTCCTGCTCTGCTACCAAACATAATGTAGTAGGTTTTGTCAGCGTTAAGCGTAAGTTTATTGGCTGTCATCTAAGTCGATATTTTGATCAGCTCCTCATTAACAATGGTGTTGAGGGTGGAAAGATTATGGTGAGAGATGACATAAGTCGTGTCGTCAGCAAAGAGAATGGGGTTCAGGTGTTGAGATAAGTTTGGAAGATCATTGATGTATATGAGGAAGAGCAGGGGACCAAGGACACTTCCCTGCAGAACTCCAGTATCAAGTGGCTGTGTTGTTGATGCTGTGTCTTTAATGGTGACATACTGATACCTACTAGTAAGGTAAGATTTGAAATATGCAAGCGCATGGCCTCTTATACCATAATGGTCAAGTTTATGGAGTAGGATGCCGTGGTCTACTGTGTCAAGATCTTTTCTTAGGTCAATAAAAATTCCTAGTGGATATTCCTTATTTTCCAATGCTGTGTAAAGCAGATCTAGCATTTTTATGATTGCATCGTTAGTGCTTTTATTTTTCCTGAATCCAAATTGGCAGGGGTTGAGTATGTTTTGTGCCATTATAAATTAATATAGTCTCCTGTGCACGAGTTTCTCAAAGATTTTGGATAGCAATGGTAAGTTTGATATTGGCCTATAGTTGTTTAAATCTGTAGGGTCACCACCTTTATGTATTGGTGTAACCCTTGCCGTCTTGAGTAGTTTCGGGAAGGTGCTAGTTTCTAGTGACTTGTTAAAAAGTAATGAGATAGTATGCGAGAGGACATGGGCCACTCTCTTGTACAATAATGATGGGACATGAGACAGATTCCCCAAGTTATTTTCAAGTGACTTTATAATCTCGGTGATTTCTGTGGGCTCAGTTGGAGCAAGATAGAAGGAATTTGGGAAATTCCCATCTAGGTAGTCCCCGTCATGGGCATTGGTACGTGGGATTTTATTGGCGAGATTAGAACCTATGGTTGAGAAGAAGTCGTTTATCTTGTTAGCTGTGTCAGTGGGTTTGCAGTGGTGTTTCATTAGGTTTAGTTTGGACAATATTCTTGTTTTTTTCAGTTTGTGGGTCCCTAGAATGTGAGAGAGTGTTTTCCAGGTCTTTTTTTATATCTCCTCTTGTGTCAGTGAATCTTCTGGAGTAGTATAGTTGTTTGGCTTTCTTTATTACTTTGGTTAGGACTGATGAATAGCGTTTAAGAATATCTTTGTGTATTAAGCTCTGTTTATATTGCTTTTCATATTGGTGTTTCTTATCAATGGATTTCAGAATGGTGCTGGTTAGCCATGTGCAACCAAGCCGTTTGGTTGTGATCTGTTTCGTTTTTATAGGACAATGTTTGTTGTATAGTCTAAGTAGTTTGTTAAGAAAAATGTCTGTCCAGTCATCAACACCATTGGCCTTGGAGAATTCTGTAGGACAGTCAACAGTCTCTAGGTCAGCTGTGAACTTGCTTATCGAGGCCTCATCGTGGAGTCTAAATGAAACTTTGTTGTATTCAAGTGGTGGTTTAATAATGTTTGTCAAGAGGAAGGAAGGGTAGTGGTCTGTAGTGCTATCTGTGATTATCCCTGATTTAAGGGGGGAAGCTAGTATATTGGTCCATATGTGGTCTATTATGGTTGCACTTGTTTCAGTGAGCCTGGTTGGTTTAGTTATTGTTGGTATGAGAAGTATGTTGTTCATATTGTTGATGAAATCAGTTACAGGCTGATCATCTAGTAGGCCAAGGTTGATGTTGAAGTCTCCAGCTAAGAGAAGGTGGTGCTTATTCATTTGTCTGTTTGTTATTAGTGCCTTTAATTTCTCACTGAAATTTGGGATGTTTGTGTGGGGTATCCGGTAAATGGCACCGATTGTTATAGGCGTCTTAAGGTTTTTTACAGTAAAATTAGCAAAAGTGTATTCTCCATATTCATCACTAAAGCAAGTGGTGCTAATACAAGTTAATTGGTTAGAGTAATAGATTGCAATACCACCCCCAACTTGGTATGGTCTGCAGTTGTGGATTGCTATGTATCCTGGTAGAGGGTAGATATCTATTGTGTCCTGCTTAAGCCAGGTCTCAGTAAGAATAATGCAGGAGAAGGGTGTCTTTAGTGATTCAAGGAGTGCCAGGAGGTCATCATAGTGTTTGCTTAAGGACCTGATGTTGTAGTTAAGTACTGATAGACTTTTAGCATTGTTTAGAATAGTGCTGGCTTGTGATGCTGTGTAGTGAAGGCAGTTACTTTCCAATAGGTTTTGATTGTGTGTCATATTATGGAGGTTTAGATCAGGGTCAACGTGATCAATCATCATCTAGGTTTAAATTATGGTTATTTATATCCTGGGTTGTGTGAAAATTCTCTCACTCTCCAAAATTCTTATGCCTCTGCCCAAGCTTGGGTTAGGACCCTTTTAATTTTTCAGTGCTCTGTAAATATTACATATTCCTTTTTTCATTGAAATGTTATGTCTGTGAACCTTTATTTTCCTGTCCTTCCTCTTATTTTAGTTGACATAACATGTTCCATTGCACTACTTAAGACAGTTGTCAAGTGCCTCACAACAATAGTAACGCTTGTTTTCTTGTCACAGGTATGCTCTTTATGTACATAACAATGACAACTTGGAGGATATTTGGTCTTCAGAAAATCTTGTTAATTTGACCATTACTGAGGTAAGTTTGGACTGTATGGTAAGCTAGATATAATGATTGCATGCTCTGACCAACAAATACTAGTGTTGTACCCTTATCCTCTACTACACACTGGCCACATGTACATAATCTTCTGAGAACATTGAAGTCACAATACATGCCTTATCTGCAATAGGAGTACAGTCTCCCTGGCCAAGTAATACTGGCATATAATTTCTAAGTTAAGTAACAGTAGAATATGCGATATTTTCTCTCGTATAAGGCATGCTTTTGTTCCTCATAAAAATCTTGGGAAGTCACCCTGCACTTTATATGTTCAAAGTTAGGAACAAGGGTAAGCAATGGGTTACTGGCAAGTGGTGGTTTCAGTGCTGTGGTGCTGGTAAACTAAATTTCAAACATCCCACAACAAAACAGTTTTAATGATTAGTAACTATTATAAATTATAATTTGCAAATTAGCTTCTCAGCAGTTGTAAGTACAGTGGACCCTTGGTTATCGGCCATAATCCGTTCCAGAAGGTTGGCCTAAATCCAAAAAGGCCAAAAACTGAAATAATATTTCCTATAAGAATTAATGTAAATGCAATTAATCTGTTCCAGACACCTAAAAATATTAACAAAATACATTTTTTAAAGATTAACTATAATTTTACATGCACAAAACAATGAGAACTAAATAAGTAAATAAATGATCATTTAAATCACTACTACATACCTTTATTGAAGACTCTTGTTGGCTTAGGGAAGACAGGGAGGAGGATAGAGGGAGGACTGATTATTAAAATTAAAAATTAAAATCCTTATTTCTCTGTTAATATTACAATGTGGGGTTTACATATTATAAGACATTATTACTTTTTACAAAGAAGGCCACTGGTATGCCTTGGTATGCCTAGGCATTTCAGGCAGACTAATACTAGTTCTTACTCTATATTGACACAGGATATAGATCATACTTGTATTAAGGTTAGGTAATTGTAGTGATTAACTAGATTTACAAAATTGAGGTAGCTCAAAAAATTTAATAACTTAACAATTAGTTTATCTATTAATGGAAATGGTCTCGATTTGGTATGATACAGTTTCTATATTGGAGTGTCTTAGACAAACTTATGACTAGCTTAAGAATTATGAACCAATAGCTGTATTCAGAATTTTGTTTACTGTCATGTGTAGATTAGGGGGAGTCACACATATCAATGTGTATTTTGTTTTGAATATGTGCAAGATAAGGTAGGGCTCCTATATTGGAGTATCTTAGTCAAACTTATGACCAGCTTATTTGGAAGGGATATCACCCTCCATAAGGACTTTAGGTATCAAAGCCCTCTCTGGGGTTACTTCCCTTCTTTGTCTTTTACTGCCACTAGGACCAGCTTCAGAGTCACTGCACCCCTGTCACACAAAATCTGTCCAGAGATCTCTGTTTCTGGTATCTCTAAGATTTGCCTGAAGTGAGACAAGGTGTTGTCACTGAACATATTGCAGATATGGCTTGTTTCAGCTTGGTCAAGGTGATATTTCTCCATGAAACTTTGCAACTCACTCCACTTTGCACACATGTCCTTAACCACAGAAGAAGGCACATTCTCCCCTCTCTCTTCCTCCTCCCTCTGAAGCAATTTCCTCAGCTGTGGTCTGTTACTGTTCCAGATGAAGCTCTTGCAGCTCTTCAGTGGCACTCGATTGGCACTCGACCAAACAAACATGACCTGCCAAAACTTCGCTGTAAACTATTTTGTGTTTCTTCACCTTCTTTTATTTTTTTTTATTTATGTAAATAAGTCACCATGGGGCCTATGAAGATTAGTAATAACAGCCAACCAAAAAGAAATTTGCTTGGGAAAATCCGTTCAATACTCGAATAGGTGGGAATTCTGGAATGAATTAAGTTTGAGCACCAAGGTTCTACTGTACTACTACATACAGTCATTACATTTGTTACTTGCACTAAAACACTACTACATGTAGTGACTACAATTCTTACTTGCACTAAGACACTACTACATAGAGTAACTACAATTGTTACTTTTAGTAAAAGTAACAATTGTAGTTACTCTATGTAGTAGTGTCTTAGTGCAAGTAACAATTGTAGTCACTACATGTAGTAGTGTTTTAGTGCAAGTAACAATTGTAGTCACTGTATGTAATAGTATTTTAGTAAAACACTATTACATACAGTCACTACAGTTGTTACTTGCACTAAAACACTACTACATACAGTGACTACAATTGTTACTTGCACTAAAACACTACTACATACAATGACTACAATTATTACTTGCACTGAAACACTACTACATACAGTGACTACAATTGTTATTCGTACTAAAATACTACCACATACAATCATTACAGTTGATACTTGCAATAAAGCATTTTTCCAGTTTCACTGTATATGGTAGTTCCTATTAGGGACTTACAAACATTATAGTATGTGGACATGAGAGTTGCTTAATATGTAGAAGCATTACTGCTGAAGAGAACTAGTAGTCAACTCCTGGCTTCTTGTTGCACTGCACTCAACAATAGAGAAACTCGTGAGGTGAAGTTTAATTACCAGTTAACAAGTACTATTTTCTTTTATCCATAATGGTGACTAATACACAATGGTGTATTAGTCACCTTTTTATCCACAATAGTGACTAATATTGAAAAAATGTTTACTGCAAAGCTCTTATCATTAGTTTTTAATTTATGTATTTATCTTCAGTAAAGGAGAAATGCATTATGATCTGGGTATCCCTCAAGGCTTAGTTGTGTCTTTATCATGTATATATAAGTGTAACCTGACCTTGCATAAGCCACCGAGATTATAATGTCACTTAAAAATAACTTGGGGAATCTGTCTCATGTCCCACCATTATTGTACAAGCGAGCGGCCCATGTCCTTTCGCATGCTATTTCATTACTTTTTAACAAGTCACTAGAAACTAGCACCTTCCCAAAACTACTCAAGACAGCAAGGGTTACACCAATACATAAAGGTGGTGACCCTACAGATTTAAACAACTATAGGCCAATATCAAACTTACCATTGCTATCCAAAATCTTTGAGAAACTCGAGCACAGGAGACTATATTCATTTATAACAGCACAAAACATACTCAACCCCTGCCAATTTGGATTCAGAAAAAATAAAAGCAATAATGATGCAATTATAAAAATGCTAGATCTGCTTTACACAGCATTGGAAAATAAGGAATATCCACTAGGAATTTTTATTGACCTAAGAAAAGCTTTTGACACAGTAGACCACGGCATCCTACTCCACAAACTTGACCATTATGGTATAAGAGGCCATGCGCTTGCATATTTCAAATCTTAACTTACTAATAGGTATCAGTATGTCACCATTAAAGACACAGCATCAACAACGCAGCCACTTGATACTGGAGTTCCACAGGGAAGTGTCCTTGGTCCCCTGCTCTTCCTCATATACATCAATGATCTTACACTTTGTGACTTTGTCAATGGTCCAAGTCGGACCGAAACGTCGTCGTAAGCTTCTCTCTTTTATGTGCGGGTTATTTGTGTATCGTTCCAGTCACGGTATTGTGCCTTTTTTTGTTATCAATGATCTTCCAAATGTATCCCAACACCTGAACCCCATTCTCTTTGCTGACGACACGATTTGTGTCATCTCTCACCCTAATCTTGCCACCGTCAACACCATTATTAACGAGGAGCTGATCAAAATATCAACTTGGATGACAGCCAATAAACTTAGGCTTAACACTGACTAAACCTACTATATTATGTTTGGTAGCAGAGCAGGAGTTGTACAAATTAACATTGAGATCAACAACACTCTAATTGCCAGACATAATGAGGGCAAATTCCTAGGCCTATACCTCGACAACAACCTGAATTTCAGCACCCATATCCAACACATAACCAAAAAAGCATCCAAAACGGTTGGGATCCTCTCCGAGATACGATACTATGTGCTGCAAAATGCCCTTCTCACACTATACCACTCATTTATCCATACCTTACCTATGCTATTTGTGCTTGGGGATCAACTGCAGCAACACACCTAAAGCCAATAATAACCCAACAAAAAGCTGCAGTAAGAATAATCACTAAATCCCATCCCTGGCAACACTCCCTCCCCCACTCTTCATAGATCTAAACTTACTCTTTTCAGTACATCCACACTTACTACTGTGCAATCTACATCTACAAGACCTTAAATTCCAATATTAACCTTGACCTAAAATGCTTTCGTGATAGTTGTGACAGAACCCACAGGCATAACACCAGACACAAACATCTCTATGACATTCCCCGTGTCCGACTAAACCTTTACAAAAATTCAATGTATGTCAAAGGCCCTAAAATCTGGAACACCCTACCTGAGAACTCTAGAACTGCAGACACATTCATCACCTTCAAAACTACCATTAGAAAACATCTTATCTCCCTGATACACCCCGTTAACTAATTACACGAATACCACCTGGTGGTTCACACTTTCACTCACCCATTGGACCATAAACAGAAATATCAATCTCAATCTTAATATAATGAATCCTAACTAGTCATAAGTTGGCCTGTGATACTCCAATACTGAAACTATGTATTGTGCCAAAACAAAAGCATTCACATTGCTAAACTCACAAACTAGTATTTAGTCACTTAGCCATAATACCAACTTACCTCATAATTTGTAGTATTTTAAAGTTAAGAATTAATCTAAGTGTGCCCGAAATGCCTGGCCATGCTAGGTGTTCTAGTGGCCCCCTCTGTAATTAGTATTTTACTACATGTAAACCACACAATAACCAAATTCTGTAAACTCAGCATTGTAATCCTTATAGAGAATAAACTTTGAATTTGAATTTCCACACTTTTTACACAAAAAAGCATATTTTTCATTTTTCATGTATTTTTTTAAGTGATATTTGAAAAAGTCATTGGTTCCAGGCAGAAAAACATGTTGAATTCAAAAGAAGGGGCCAGATATGTAAAAATATTAATGCTACAAAAGGAGAAATATTCAGCCCAGCTAAATATGATGATCATTTTACACAAAAGGTACTGTATTACATCTATCGTGAATGTATAGTTAGTTACAACCATGTGTAACTGATTTTACCTTCATCTCCTTTTCAGAGAAAGGCTTCAGTGTTGTTCCATTCCAACCCAAAGCTGTGCTACAAGAAGATCAAGGAACTTATTTTGAGGACAAATCGGACCATTCCAGAGGACAGCAACATGCACCTCACTAACGGAAATAAAATTGCATGTGAGAGCTATAAATATTTGTTAATTCTAGATAATGATAATATAATAATTTCTTTATTTACTACAAGTACATGTACAAGGTATACAGGCCTAGCTGACATCAATGACATACTACTATATAGAAAGCCCCTTGTTATGCTGAGCATTTCAGGCAAATTAGGTCAGGTTTGTCCCAGGATGCTACCCACACCATTCGACTAACACACAGGTACCCATTTTGAACAGGGACAGCAGGTGTCTTACGAAAAATGTCCCTAATGTTTTCCAGCTGTACTGGAGGAAATTTGAACTCTGGATCTGTGTGTGATCTGAGTGTGCCAGTGATCTTGTAATTACAAAATAATTTGTGCAAAATTTCAATGCTTCTAATTTTTTCCCCTATGTAATTGTAGACTAATGCTTGAATCTGAGGTTTTAGAGCTACAGTACTGTATAGTGGTCTAGCATTTAATTAATACTGTATCTTTATTAGTGGATAGAAATATCACCTTTTATTCACATGCTCTGTAGTGCAAAATTTCTCTACCTGTAAGGGAGGGAAGTATTGATGAAAAATTTCAATGCGACAGACTAAACAGGCAACAAGGGAGGGTTAGCCTGTATGTCAGAGTCGCTCATTTGCACAGAACTACTAAACACCTCAAAGGATGTAGTTGAAGTTTTGGTGGTAAAGACTGAAAACCAAAACCTTGTCATTGTGGTAGTATACAAGCCTCCAGATCCAACTTCCCAGTAATTCCAGGAGCAGCTTGAGAAAATTGACCACTGTCTGGAAAATCTCCCAATTCCTGTCCCAAACATCTTACTACTAGGAGATTTCAACCTGAGACACCTAAAATGGAAAAGTATAGCAAACAGTGTTTTAGCAGAGATCACTCCGGGAGGCAGCTCAGATGAAAATTCACACACACAAACTATTAAATCTCTGCAACAAATTCACCTTAAACCTGCAAATAGTAGAGCCTACAGGACTAGAAAATATGCTAGACCTCATCTTCACTAACAATGATGATCTGATACATAATATAACTGTATCAAAGACAATTCACTCAGATCACAACATATAATAGAGGTACAGACATGTATGCACAGGGCTCCAGACCAGCAAAATGTGAGCAGTCATGAAGGTCTCCTTACGAAATTCAATTTCGATAACAAAAACATACACGGGCATCAAGTAAACCATGTCCTAAATGAAACAAGCTGGGAAGATATCCTAAACAACACGGACCCGAACATCTGCCTTGAAAAAATTAATTCTGTGGTTGTTGAGATCTGCTCAAGACACATTCCATTAAGAAAAAGAAAGAGGAGATGTAAGCTAGAAAGAGAGAGAGACGTTCCCTATACAGACGAAGGCGAAGAGTCACAGAGCTGCTGAGTAGGGTCAATATATATGAAATACGAAGGGAAGTACTAGTCAATGAAATTGCAAATATCGAACTTAAGCTGAAGGAATGTTATAGGAGACAAGAATCACAGGAAGAACTAAAAGCCATAAAGGAAATTGAAAAAAATCCAAAATACTTCTTCTCTTATGCCAAATCTAAGGGAAAAACAACATCCAGTATTGGACCCCTGCTTAGGCAGGATGGGACATACACAGATGATAGCCAAGAAATGAGTGAGATACTAAAGTCCCAATATGACTCAGTGTTCAGCAATCCACTGCCGCTCTAAGGGTCGACAATCCAAATGAATTCTTTATGAATGAAACCCAAAATTTGGCCATCCCAAAACTCTCGGATATTATTATAACTCCACAAGATTTTGAAGAGGCAATGACATGCCCATGCACTCTTCCCCAGGCCCAGACTCGTGGAATTCCGTCATCATCAAGAACTGCCCTATTGTGTGCCTTCAGCATTTTATGGAGAGAGCATGGACACAGGGGTCATCCCACACACACTAAAAACAACAGACATAGTCCCACTCCACAAAGGTGGAAGTAAAGCACTAACATCTCATATCAACCACCTAGATACCCATCAGTTGCACAACCCAGGGCATCATGGGTTCAGAGCAGGTCGCTCCTGCCTGTCCCAGCTGCTGGACCACTATAAGGTCCTGGATGCTGTAGACAATAAACAAAATACAGATGTTGTATACCCAGACTTTGCAAAAGCTTTCGACAAGTGTGACCATGGTGTAGCACACAAAATGCGGGATAAAGGAATAACAGGAAAAGTTGGTAGATGGATCTACAACTTCCTGACAAAGAGAACACAAAGAGCAATAGTAAATAGAGTAAAGTCCCAGGCAGCCATGGTTAAAAACTCTGTTCCACAAGGCACAGTACTCGCTCCCATTCTATTCCTCATCCTCATTTCTGACATTGAGATGTAAACCATAGCTCCGTGTCTTCCTTTGCGGATGACACCCGGATCACCATGGCAGTGACCTCCATTGAAGACACTGTGAGACTCCAAGCAGACATCAACCAAATCTTCGAATGGGCCACTCAAAACAATATGAAGTTCAACAAGGAGGAATTTCAACTACTCAGATATGGAAAACTTGAAGAAATTAAAAATGTGTCAGGGTATACGACAAATTCTAACCATACATAGAGCGGAAAAGTAATGTGAAGGATCTGGGAGTGATAATGTCAGAGGATCTCGCCTTCAAAGACCACAACAATGTATCTACCTTATCTGCTAGGAAAATGATAGGATGGATAATGAGAACCTTCAAAGCTAGGGATGCCAAGCCCATAATGATTCTCTAGGCTGGAATACTGCTGTACACTAATGGCCCTCTTCAAGGCTGGCGACATTGCAGACCTGGAGAGTTGGTACTAGTATTGTCTGTAATACTGCCTAATGTTTAAGGCTCTTGAGCCCAGAAATTGGAGCAGTCTTCCCTTTCCACAGATAACACCTGATTACTTCCCATGTCCTAGGCATTTTATGATGGTTATGAGTTTTGCACTTCCCCATGCATGTAATGCTCCACCAAATGGTGTTTCTCACCATTTGGGTTCAGTTTAGGATGTAGTTTTGAGTTTGAAGCTGATATGACTGGATTCCAGGGAGAGTTATGGAATGGAGATATTTTATTAGTGTTGGAGGTAAGTTGGTCTTGTAAGTGTTTGGGTTTTAGTGCTTAGTATATCTTTGACTATTGCAGAAGCTTTGGAAATTTCTGCAGTGCTGTATGACCTTTATGGGTTTGGCACTTAATTTTATTGTAACAATTTAGAAATCTGTTAGCAATGTGGGTTTACTAGCTTCTCCTCACTTAGCGACATACTCGTTTACTGATGACTCGGACTTACGACGGGCTCTTTGACCAGTATTCATACCTAAATAATGTATGTTAGAGCTGATTTCCTCTATTTTGTTTATTACAATATACAGTATACTACTGCATAAACATTGAAAAATATACCAGAAATTCTATAAATGGTGCAAAGGTGATATTAAAGCAATATCAAAGATGGTTGACACAAACCCACTACCATTATAGTATGCTCGTCACTTACCAACAAATTCGTTTACCGACGAGGTCTTAGGAACGATACTCCTTCTGTAAGTGAGGAGAGACTGTATGCAATTTTCATCTGCTGCCATTAACTATGTACACATTTGTTTTTTCTGTGAAATTTTCCTCAGGTACAATAATGGAACAAACTGTGAACTTGGAAGCTTTACCAGATAAGGGTGTAGTGAAAGTGAGCTGGACCACGGCACCAATTAATGAGGATGATCGCATGCTCACTGGCTACTATGTGTACTACAAACAATCAGAAAAGGACATAAACTATATGACTGGTCGCGATGCTTGTGATGAGTGAGTTACACATTATTTGTTTTTTGAACGTCATTTGGCTTTTAAGGAAAATGAAGGGATTGATTTATAAACATTATGGTTGTTAGATTTCCAAAGATTAGGCTCAGTGCTGCTGTGCTTTTCTTGGCTAGAAATGGTTGTTTCAAGGATGTGCATGTGTGGTTGTATTGTGCTGCAAGTTAATTCAGGGGTTGGAGCTGCCAAAACAATGCCCTGGTGATTCAGTGACTTATTTTATTTACTGTTATTCATGTCTGTTAGTATATTTTTCTCAGCAGTTGTCTAGATTAATTATGTATAAGTATGAGTTTTGGGCCTTGGTCATTCGTACATTCTGTACAGAATGTGTGTGTGATGCTTCACCACTCCTGGGAGCATCACTGTAAGTGCATCATATATAGATAAGTTTTTGTTTTTACAACACCTGCTCTCTCCTACCAGTGTAGCATGACCCCAAGAGAAAAATGCATTTACCATCATAAAGTGCATTCAATAACCATCTTGCCAGAAGTGTACTGACATCATAATTCAACTGATCTCTGAACTGCAACAACATTTTTAAATATACTGTGTATATTTAAAGTCATGAGCCATCTTCCACCAATGTAAGGTGACCCAAAGAAACAAATATTTACTGTCATTCATCTGTCACCGTCTTTCTATGAGTGTGTTGACGCTATAATCGTATTACCCTATGATTGCAACATCTTTCACTTTTCAGAATGTAGACAATGCCATTCCCATCTTCAGCACTCAAGTCCGGCTAAATGGCTTTCCTGAATCCCTTCATAAAAGTTACCTTACTCTCACTTTTTTGTATTTACAGTAGACCGTTATATTACACAGTAGTTATGTTCCTGAAAATGCCACGTTGGGTAAATCCATGTTAGATAAACTAAAACACTTACGAGAAAAATGGGGTTACATTCCTGGGAGCCCAAAAAACCCAAACAATTTTTTTAGACCTCCAGATTTTACAAAAATTATAATGAATATGTAACTGTTGTTCATTGTCATGGCATATTATGTTGTCTTTTACTGCTTAAGATTACAAATGTAACAGAAATAATAGTATTTTTTTTTTATTATTATCACACTGGCCAATTCCCACCAAGGCAGGGTGGCCCGAAAAAGAAAAACTTTCACCATCATTCACTCCATCACTGTCTTGCCAGAAGGGTGCTTTACACTACAGTTTTTAAACTGCAACATTAACACCCCTCCTTCAAAGTGCAGGCACTGTACTTCCCATCTCCAGGACTCAAGTCTGGCCTGCCGGTTTCCCTGAACCCCTTCATAAATGTTACTTTGCTCACACTCCAACAGCACGTCAAGTATTAAAAACCATTTGTCTCCATTCACTCCTATCAAACACGCTCACGCATGCCTGCTGGAAGTCCAAGCCCCTCGCACAAAAAACCTCCTTTACCCCCTCCCTCCAGCCTTTCCTAGGCCGACCCCTACCCCGCCTTCCTTCCACTACAGACTGATACACTCTTGAAGTCACTGTTTCGCTCCATTCTCTCTACATGTCCGAATCACCTCAACAACCCTTCCTCAGCCCTCTGGACAACAGTTTTGGTAATCCCGCATCTCCTCCTAACTTCCAAACTACGAATTCTCTGCATTATATTCACACCACACATTGCCCTCAGACATGACATCTCCACTGCCTCCAGCCTTCTCCTCGCTGCAACATTCATCACCCATGCTTCACACCCATATAAGAATGTTGGTAAAACTATACTCTCATACATTCCCCTCTTTGCCTCCAAGGACAAAGTTCTTTGTCTCCACAGACTCCTAAGTGCACCACTCACCCTTTTCCCCTCATCAATTCTATGATTCACCTCATCTTTCATAGACCCATCCGCTGACACGTCCACTCCCAAATATCTGAATACATTCACCTCCTCCATACTCTCTCCCTCCAATCTGATATCCAATCTTTCATCACCTAATCTTTTTGTTATCCTCATAACCTTACTCTTTCCTATATTCACTTTTAATTTTCTTCTTTTGCACACCCTACCAAATTCATCCACCAATCTCTGCAACTTCTCTTCAGAATCTCCCAAGAGCACAGTGTCATCAGCAAAGAGCAACTGTGACAACTCCCACTTTGTGTGATTCTTTATCTTTTAACTCCACGCCTCTTGCCAAGACCCTCGCATTTACTTCTCTTACAACCCCATCTATAAATATATTAAACAACCACGGTGACATCACACATCCTTGTCTAAGGCCTACTTTTACTGGGAAATAATTTCCCTCTTTCCTATGTACTCTAACTTGAGCCTCACTATCCTCGTAAAAACTCTTTACTGCTTTCAGTAACCTACCTCCTACACCATACACCTGCAACATCTGCCACATTGCCCCCCTATCCACCCTGTCATATGCCTTTTCCAAATCCATAAATGCCACAAAGACCTCTTTAGCCTTATCCAAATACTGTTCACTTATATGTTTCACTGTAAACACCTGGTCCACACATCCCCTACCTTTCCTAAAGCCTCCTTGTTCATCTGCTATCCTATTCTCCGTCTTACTCTTAATTCTTTCAATAATAACTCTACCATACACTTTACCAGGTATACTCAACAGACTTGTCCCCCTATAATTTTTTGCACTCTCTTTTGTCCCCTTTGCCTTTATACAAAGGAACTATGCATGCTCTCTGCCAATCCCTAGGTACCTTACCCTCTTCCATACATTTATTAACCCTTTCAGGGTCCAAGGCCCAAATCTGGAGTCACGCACCAGTGTCCAAGAATTTTCAAAAAAAAAATTTGTTATTTTTTCTTATGAAATCGTAGAGAATCTTTTTGTGAAGGTAATAAAACAAAAAGTACGAAATTTGGTGGAAAATTTACGAAATTATGCTCTCGCGAATTTTGATGTGTCAGCGATATTTACGAATCGGCGATTTTGCCGACTTTGACTCCCATTTTAGGCCAATTACATTATTCCAATCAACCAAATTCTTAGCTATTTCACTAGTATTACTTCTATTCTATCGATTGAGCACAAGGAATCGCCAAGTCAACTGTTTCAACTACAAAATAAAGTGATGGGAAATTGTTAATTTGGCCAATTTAACACAAAGTTCAAAATATTCCAATTTCAAAATAGGGTCCAGAATGAACAATGTAGGTATTCCTGGCACTAAACTAACATTTCCTCTGTTCATTAGTTATGTTTTGAGGCTTTACAAATAAATTCCATTTTGATTTTTTATTCACATAATGAATTTTTATTCACACCAAAAAATAGAAGATTTACTGTTATGCAATACTGTAATAATTGTATAAATATCATCACCATATTTGTGAATGTATATTAGATCCACCAGCTGGCTTGTATTAGACATGTGAGGTCGTTTGTTTACTCTTGAATATCGGCCAAAATTTAACATTTCTGCTACTTTGAGCTCAGTTTCAAGCCATTTCCAGTGCTAAAACCAATCAAAATCATCTCTATTTCTGTAATATGTCTTCCATTCTATCAAATGAGACTAAGAAATCGCAAATACAACTATAAAAAACATACGAAAAAACACTGCAAAGTTGCTGTTTTAATCGAAAAATCATGATTTCATTTTTTTTCTCTCATTATACACAGTGTGCTGCAGGATCTGTTTTATGTGGTGCACACATACCACATAGATGTATTCTCTCATATCTAGGCCCAAATGTACCACTCACAGTTTATCAGAGTGAGCTGAGCTCATGGCGTAGATCTACGGTTTGGACCCTGAACGTAAAGCCATAGATCTACGGGACGGACCCTGAAAGGGTTAAATAATTGCACCAACCATTTCTTACCTTAAATTTCTTACCTTAAATTGTGGATGCTGGTGTTTGTCGATGATTGTGATGACAGTGGAGAGTTACGCTGTAACCTTACTGGGCTGAGATGGATGGTAGAAGTTCTGGTACTGAAGTTGATGGTTGTATTGGAGGGTGCAGAAATTCTGTAATGGATTTCTAGGCTATTTTACCCTGCAGTACATTATATAGCTGACGGTAAGGCATCAGCTGCTCTAGACACAGTTTCAGAGCACTGCTTCTAAATTTGTCAAGGTCCTCTCTAGTGAAAAGGTCTAACATTAAGTCAGTCAGTCAGTAAGTCAGTGAGATGACATCCTAGGTTATTCATTACATAAACTTGTATATTTACCGCATTCTTTTTAACTGTATGAACTGACACTTTATCCACTACATATGAGCCACTCTTAAGCTTATCTAATACACTGTATCTCGATTTTCTTCGTAACTCCAAAACTTAAGTAATAATACAGTGGACCCCCGGACATCTTAGTCATTGGATTTCGTAATCTTCAGAAATCATAACTTTTTTCTTCAAAATATTGGCTCGGTGATTGTCATTGAGCTCGGTAATGGTCATTCATCCCAAATGCGTCCACACGGCAACAGCGGCCCGACACTCAGTGTGCCATTGTTTATCAGGGCAGTGAACTTGATCCCACATGTTCATATGATACATTTCATATTATTCTATTCTTTTTAGTGCTAGTAACTGCTAAATAAGCCACCATGGGCCCAGCCAGCCCTTTGGTAAAGGGCTGAGAGAAAGGAAAGAATGTGCCTTTTTCAATGATTCTGTGATATGTATGATACTAAAGCAGCAGGAGTCGATAAAGGCTGTAGCACCAGCCAGTGATAAAGTGTAGCATTAACAGCGTAGCAAGTAAGTTAAATGATTAATCAATAGAGAAAGGACAACATGAAACTGACTTCTCCAGTGTTGTTGGAGGTATATAGGGCTACTGACTAACACCGCCGCCTCTGCTCCTGCCATCACCACCACCACTGTGTAAGGCCCTTATACACCCAACAACAAACAACACAATAACACTCTTTAGTTAGGGAGAGAGACATATGACATATTTTATTCATTCTAGAGTATATATCATGTTTCCATGTTATTAATATTGTTGTTGTCCAGAGGGCTGAGGAAGGGTTGTTGAGGTGGTT